GACAGAAGAAAGTTATATAAGTGGGGTACCTCGCTGGCTCAGTCAGTAGTGTGTGCGACTCCTGATCTTGGGGTTGTACTTTCAAGTTGGGTGTAGTGATTACTTAAAAATAAAATCTTTTAAAAAAAAAGTTAGATAAGAAAGGGAAACACTGTGAACAAGATGTATATGACTGTACCAGTCAATACACCAAGTGCTGATTTAACTAAAAATTATGAAATATCACTATTGGGAGGTTTGGTGAGAGGAACTGGTAACAGTCAATATATAAAATTTTTACTGGAAATATCAAATAATATAAAAAGCACTTTGAAATAAGGCAGTAAATCTCATGAAAAACAGCTGAGTGAGTTAAAAGTGGTTGTCTCTGGAGAAGAAGACTGCGGGTGTTGAGAGGAAAGGCGAGGGGCTGTTGTTTTTCATTATAAACTTTTTAGCCCTATTTAGTTTTGTAGCTATATGTATGCATTACTTTGACTATATTTTTAGAGAATTGAAAACTGGATAGCTTTCTACCATGTGATTCATTGTTATGTGATTCCATGTCAATATCTAATACTATCTTTTTTTTTTTAAGGTTTTATTTATTTGAGAGCGAGAGAGAGCGCGCGTGCGCGAGTGGGGGGAAGGGCAGAGGGACAAGCAGATTCCCCACTGAGTGCAGAGCCTGACTTGGGGCTCGATCCCAGGACCCTGAGATCATGACCTGTGCTGAAGTCAGATGCTTAACCCACTGAGCCACCCAGGCAGCCCAATATCTAATACTATCTTAATCACCTCAGCTTCCACTAAGGAGTTGGAGGCTTCACACACTATACAGAGCATTTATGAATGGCTAGAGTTTTATAAAGAAGTGAAAAGGATGACCAAAAGTGTGGTGTGCAGGGAATATGACAGTCTTTTGTGGGTGTGGCTGTCGTGGGAATCCTCTGAGACCTCAAGCTGGCCCCCATACCACACTACTGGCCCCATTTCAAGTGGTTTCCAGCCCCCAACACTCCTCACAGCCTGAGCATCTCCCTCCTGACCTTCACAGTGGTCAAGACTTTGGGCCTTGTTTTCTTATTGAATCTCCTGTCTTCCTCTACATTTGAGCCTGTCTTCTTTTTTTCAACTCTGAGCTTTGTTTTTCTCCCCGACGATGAATTCTTCCTATTTGTTATTAAATTCTGCATGGTTAGAGATGATATTTGGTTACATGGAATAGGACCAGCTGTAGTGGCTTAGTCAGGTAGAGGAAGACTGAGCAGGTACGGACACGCCCCGTCATTCCTTTCTCTTTCTCCACCATCAGCCTTAACCGGTGATTTTATCCTCATAGTTGTAAGGTAGCTGCTTCCCTGAGAGCCTCCCATCTCCATTCCAGACCAGAAGAGGAAGGGACAAGGAGAATGTACCGGTACCTGTATGAGGAAATCTCAGAAATCCCCAGCATACTTATGCTTATTTCTAGTTGGTCAGAAGCATGTCACATGCCCATCCTTAATTTTTAGCTGGGCACATTTCTGCCCTAAGAAAAATTTGAGCTGTTAGAAAATAAGGTCAGAAAGGATATTAGTCAGGGAACTAGAAGTATTTGCCTCAAGCTCCTTTAGATTATGGTTGACAGGTCAACTGGTCTACACTAGACCTGGTCAAAGGCCTTTGAAGCCAGTGACACCACCCCCCTCCGCCCCACAGTGGCCCAAGTGAGACACCAGGGTCTTTATTAGACATTCCACATGGCCCCTCAAGTCACCTAGCAGAACTACATCTGTATAACCTTCTGCTCTATAAGAAAACATGGAAGACACTGGGCCAAAATTAGGCCCAGGAAACATGAGTGCCTCTCAATCTAGGCACACCCCTGGGACATTATTGCCTTAGATTTTATTATGGCCCAGCCCCACCCTGAAGTATCAGAGTAACATTCCCCCCACAACCACACCTTTTTTTTGTGATGACCCACAGGATGGAATGACCCGTAGGATAGAATGACCACACCAAGTATCAATAAGCACTGCTCACCAGAGGAAAACGTCCAAATAGGATGGTGACTTTGCTTATCTTCCAGGCACGTATGTACCACCCAAGCCCTCAGTGACACAGTTTCTGGCCCTTTCTACATCCTGAAATTATAAACTGTATTGTCTTATACCTCCAGGTCCCTTACCCATATTCATCCACCTTACCCTCCACTACCCTTTACTTTGCCCAACCTGATTTGTTCCCACACCCTTACAACCATTTTCATGTTTCAACCTCAATTGACCCTTTGGAGGGTCATGCAGTCCTTTTTTTTTTTTTTTTTTTTAAAGATTTCACTCCTTCATTTGACAGAGAGAGAGACAGCGAGAGCAGGAGCACAAGCAGGGGGAGAGGGAGAGGGAGAAGCAGGCTCCCGGCTGAGCAGGGAGCCCGATGTGGGGCTCGATCCCAGGACCTCGGGATCATGACCCGAGCCGAAGGCAGATGCTTAATGACTGAGCCACCCCATGCCCCCATGCAGAACTATTTTTAAGTACTTATTTATAGTACATGCAGTCCTATTTTTAAGGTTCTTATTTTGCCTCTCCACCATATTTCCTACTTACCTTTCTGCTTCTGGCCTCTTCCTGGTGTATCCTGACCTCCAGAAACTACAGCTTGAGGCCCCTGTGGCCCTACAAGCAGGACCCGGACATCTGGCTAGATGAGAAACAGAAAGGGGGAGAAGGGCAGGTGCCATGGGAAATAACAGAAGGATGGGTTGACACAGGCTCTCCGAATGGCATGCTAGGTATTTGAGTCTTATTATCTGACCCCAATTTTGATGTGTGGGAGTAGGTTTTTCCACACACCACCAAGCAATTCCCAAATACTAGCTGGGTGGCCTACAGTTCAACTCACTTCTGGAGCTTAGCATCAGATTCCACAGGTTAAGGGCTCAGTCCCACAAGACTGTCCCCTCCCCACCACCACCACTTCAGACATCAATAGCAAGTCCAGATTGTTACCTGGGCTTCTGACTGACTGGCTATAAAGCTGAGGTTCTCATGACCCACTCCTTGGGTTTGATTAATTGGCTACAACAGCTAATATGACTCAGGAAACCACTTTATTCACTAGATTGCTAGGTTATTACAAAGGATATTAAAGGATACAAATCAATAGCCAGATGAAGAGATACAGAGGCTGAGGTCTCGAACAAAGCCGCTCTGTCCTCATGGAGTTTGGACCCCAGCATGATGGCACGTGGAAGCATTCTGGTTTCCCAGCCTGGAAGCTCTTTGAATTGCGTCCTTTGGATTTTTATGGAGGCTTTATTACACGGGCATGATTGATTAAATCATTGGCCATTGGTGATTGATTCAACCTCCAGCCCCTTTCCCCTCCCTGGAGAATCAGGGGGTAGGACTGAAAGTTCTAACCCTTCATTTATGGTTGGTTCCCCTGGCAACCAGCTTTCCAAAAGTCTCCTCATTAACATAAATTCAGGTGTCATGGAAAGGGGCTTGTTATGAATTACAAGGCACCCATTTCACCTGTACGGCTCTAAGGCATTTTCAGGAACTGAGAACAAGGGACCAAATATTACATTTTTCAGGTTTTCTTTTAAAAAAAAATCCAGTGTAGTTGACACGGAGTGTTATATTAGCTTCAAGTGTACAATACAGTTTCTATACATTACTTAGTGCTCATCATGGTAAGTATACTCTTTAATCCCCATCACCTATTTTACCCATCCCCCCACACACCTAAGGGACCAAAAGATGCTCCCATTTCTCTTATTGCTCAGGAAATTCCAATGGTTTGGGAGCCAGGAACCATGGACAAAGACCAAATATATATGAGAAATCTGAATACTCTAAATATATATTTCTTATAAATCACAATATTGCTGCCCTTTATAGGATGATCAGTGAAAAATCTTGGTTTCAGGTGATACAGGACCAACTCAAACTGATCTAAGTACACACACACACACACACACACACACACACACAAAATTGTTGACCTATAAAACTAAAAGTCCAAGAGTGGTTCTAACTACAGGTCCAGCTGGATTTAGGGGTTCTGGTAACACTACCTACCTTCATCTCCTTGTGTTGACTTTATTCTCAGGCAGGTTCTTCCCACACAGTGGCATTTTGGGCAGCACTGGCCATAAGTTTACATTGTACCCGTTTAATCTCAAGAAAGAGCCTTTCTCCTGGGGCGCCTGGGTGGCTCAGTCGTTGGGTGTCTGCCTTCGGCTCAGGTCACGATCCCAGGGGCCTGGCTGGGATCAAGCCCCGCATCGGGCTCCCTGCTCGGCGGGAAGCCTGCTTCTCCCTCTCACACTCCCCCTGCTTGTGTCCCCTCTCTCGCTGTCTCTCTCTATCAAATGAATAAATAAAATCTTTAAAAAAAAAAAGTCATAAGAAAGAGCCTTTCTCCTGATTTCACTGGACCATCATGAGTCACATGCATACCTGTTAACCAATCACTGTGCCAGGGAGAATAAATCCGCTAATTGGCCAGATCTGGGTTGTGTGCCCATCCACCCCTGGAGGACAGGGGAGCAGAACCCCAAAGTAAACTCAAGCTTCTGTTTCAGAAAGAAGCTAAAATGCAAGCTGGACAAGCAAAACCAGGAGAGGTCCACTAAAGATTAAGAGCTAATAAAGTATTAGAGGTGATGAATGACAAGATCAGAATTTCACTTTCAGATGATTAGTTTGGAAGTAGATTCCAGGATGGATTTGGGGGTGGGGAAGTCTGAAGCTAGGAAGACCAGTTGGAAGACTACTAAAGTTATCCAGGTAAACATATGACAGTAGGAATGGAAAAGAAAGGACTAGAGTGAGAAGTTATTACAGAAATAAATTGTTATGGATCACTCACATCAAGAAGATATAAGGAAAAGATATTAGGTGAGAGGAAAGTTGCTCAGTTAATAAGAATGTGGGAAAATGCCCCTCTCAGAAGCTAAGACCCAATCCATCAAATGGAGTTGTGAGATATCCTACCCATTGACTATTATGTTCTTCCCCTTTCAGGTAAACTCCCAATCTTAAAAATTATAGTCACTCCTCAAGTCTCTTCAGAAACCTTCAGATCTATTTGGAAAAATAGCAGGAAATCTAGTATTACCCGTAGAAAGAAGAAGAAAGTATGTTCTTAAATGTCTGTGTCTGCTGAGTTGCAGCCGCCAGGAGAGTGTGTGCGCGGAGCGTGGGCACTAAACTGGTGTAGATGCCACCCTCAGCAGATTTTGCACTTGATAAAATCATGAGAATTTTGGTTCTAGGTAATAGTATCCCAAACCATCAGTCCATTCTGATGGATGATTGTATCAAAAGACAAGTAGTAGGAAACAACATAGTTGCCTCAAATGTTGTTGCAAACCTTGCCTCCTGTCTTCAACTTTCCCACTTCCCCCCCAAATCCTGGTTCCTGTTAGCTTATTGTGGATTTGAAATGGTGAATTTACCTAAACTATTTATGAAACATGTGGGATCTATTAGGTGGTAATGCTCTACATATATTTACTCCCTATTGTATGAAGCTGAACTTCCTTTTTTCTTTTTATAATTTATTATTTTTTCTTCATTGTTTCATAGGCTAAAAACTGAAGATGGATGCCATAGATCTTTATGGATGCTGTCTATTTCCATGGCCAACCAGACGTATAGAAAGATATAGCTTTTTCTATAATAATAGTTTTCACTGGAACCAAGCCCATCTCAAATTCTAAAATTTGATGACTAATTTATGAAAGTTCAAAGTAGTGTTAATCCTGCTACGCTTGTCATTTTCTAAAATGTGGGTTTCACAAGTTGACCTTAGTAAAAATAGGTAGGATTCTTCTCTAGTGCTTCTTACGTGCTTGTGAAATTTATAACTTGAAGGAAGTCATGATCTTTATCTAAGAAAGAAAGAATCTCCTTTCATGAGTATATCTGTAGTTGGGAACAATAGGAATATTTGGAAATAACCACTTTCTGAAAGACATCCCCCAAAATGGGGATCTTCCCCAAATGAGGAAACTTCTACTCAATCACTTTAACCACCCCACCACCACCACCAAATGAATATGTCTGCTCCATAGGAAAGAGAAGAGGTGTGGTTGACCAATGTATGGATGATAAATTGGATTAGTTGAAAGTTATATGCCATGAAAATATGGTTCAGGGATGAAAAGCATGGACTGGGGAATGAAATGGACTGGAATTCTCTGTGGAAAACTGGTGCTGTCCAGGTGTGTGACATTGGCCAAGTCAGTTAACCTCACTGAGCCTCAGTTCTCCCTGATAAGATACAGATAAGAATAGCACCTGTCTCATTTGGTGAGCACTGAATGAGATGACGCATGTCAAGTATTTTTGGACAATACTTGTTTCATAATGCATGCTCAAATATAAATATCAGTGGCAGTTATTATGTTGATGTTAGAAGTAAATGATTCCAGTTATTTCACTTGGAAAAGCTATACACGAAAAATAAAAAAGAAGAAAAAAAGACTTAAGAACTTTCCATTTTGAAGTAAAAAACAAAACAAAACAAAACCCACACAAAAAGCCAGTCTGTTGGGGTGCCTGGCTGGCTCAGTCAGTAGAGAATGTGACTCTTGATCTCAGAGTTGTGAGTTCAAGCCCCACTTCGGGTGTGGAGCCTACTCAAAATAAAAAATAAAGAAAGCAATGAATGTATGTTTTTTTAAAAAAGGCAAGACTGTCATTCACACTACGTACAAATCAAGTTCTGGCACGTCTGTGGAACCAAACTATCTGTGAAGGTGAGTATGTTTGTAGTAAATTATGTTCACCGTTAAATATCTTAGCATCTAGCTAGGAAGACAAGATCCTCACATGTTAAAAGTAAACAATAACAGAGTGTGAGAGTTGAAATAATATAACAGATCTTCAGAACTTATATATCCAGTCTGTGAGACCTCCTGATAAATTGTACCTGCTTTAAAAAAAAAAAGACCTTTTTGAAATTTGCCACTGACATCCACTCAGTGGGAGTGTAAAATCTGTGTGCCTCCTTAGAAGTCTTTTGACATTGTCTATCAAAATGAAAAATACATAACTTTTGACCTAGGTATCTGAGAAATTTATTTTACAAATATTCTCTCACACATGTGTAAGGCAATATTTATAATGATGGTGTTTGTTTTGTTTTAAAGATTCTATTTATTTATTTGACAGAGAGAGACACAGTGAGAGAGGGAACACAAACGGGAGTGGGAGAGGGAGAAGCAGGCTTCCCGCTGAGCAGGGACCCCGATGTGGGACTCGATCCCAGGACCCTGGGACCATGACCTGAGCTGAAGGCAGATGCTTAATGACTGAGCCACCTAGGTGACCCTTAAAAATTTTTTTAATGAGTTCTGTTTGTACATATGTAGGAATTTCTGGAAAGTCTATTAACAGCACTTGCTTTTTTTCATTGTATACTCATTTTACTATTGTAACATTTTTATCATTTATGAGCTGTCAATTTTAAAAACTTGAAATTGCTCCATAAACATCAGTAACAGCACTTTTTGCTTGCTATGTGACCCAGTGCCAAAAGACTGGAAGAAATACAGTAAGTACTGTGATTTCCTGGGAGTACATGAATATATGTTGGCAAAGAGCGAAGATGAGTAAGTTTTCTCTAAGTGCAGACAGCAGTCCAGCTGGAGCAGGTAGGGGAAGTTCTGTCCAGTTTCAGAGATGTTAAAGTGTGAAAAAAAAAAAAAGAGGCATCCTCTAGGCTTTCATCCTTTCATCTGACTTTCCTTTTCTCTTTCAAACTGGCCCGTTCCCAACAACTTGAATGCATTTTATCCTCATCTGGTTCCGGCCTCCCTCCTTTGTTAGATATCTCGCATTTAGAACCATCTCTAGTCAGATGTGTGGTCATTTAATATGAGTATGTTCATCTGGGTTTGTTTACAGGCATTTTTATCTGGCTCATAAAGTTAGTGTGGTGAGATGAACATCTGCCACCACTACTACTGCTCTGCTCTGGCTGACAGCTTGGAAAGGTGTGCTCTCTTCACTGATATCCTGGTCTTGAGGGCCTCCCATATCTCGCCAGTTCAGACTTGACCTCTTCCATGAGGCTTTTCTTCATGGCATCAGTCCTCAGGGATATCTCTGTCCCTCACAGCACTTAATATTCCACTCAACAAGCAGCACACATAGCATCTAGCCAAATGTGACCCTGTGTCCATATTTCCATTTTTACATACTTATGCATCCTTGTGTCCTCTGCCCGACTCCTTGAGTTTGGTTAGCCTCCGTCCGGACACAGGGCCTGGCATTAGGCCAGGGGAGGCTGAGAGGCCCAGTAAGAGAAGGGAGGCTTGGAATCCCACACCTGACACTACCGGTGTCCACCACTAGGTGGTGGCGGTAATCAGTCATCTCCTTAGGCATTATGTACCTCAAATTTCTTATCTTTTAAAAGGAAGATGTTGTCTGCTTTGCTTGAGAAAACAGAAGAACATGACCCCAGGCTAGCAATAGAAGAAACCAGGTTTCATAATTGTCACCTTCACATAACACTGGTGTTACTCGTACATATAAAAGGAGGAGGTTGAACCACATCAGAGGTTCTCAGAGCATAAGCCCCAGAGTTCTTGGCGTCCTTTCAGGCGACCAACAGGTCAAAACTATTTGCAAGCCAATATTCAGAGCTATTTCCCTCTTTTCACTCTTAGGAGTGTACCATGGAGTTTTCCAGAAGCGACATTGTATGTGGCACCATCGCTCTAATAACTTGTAATGAGTTTATTACTGTTACTTTTAAATGAATACATTTAAATCGTCCCCTCAATTTAAATTTCTTAAAGAGCAAACATATACATCTTCCATAAAGGCTCTGTAAGGTCCTATAGTTTTTAAGCTTAACAGGGTGCTGAGCCCAAAAATTTGGGAACCATTGAACCAGGTTTCTCAGAAGACCTGCTGAGGCCAGACGTTTCCTAGATACGGAAGACATGGTCCCTGCTCTGATGGTTTACATGGGGGAGGGCCGGGGGCGGGGAACAGTTATAAATAAATATATATATATATATTTAAAGATTTTATTTATTTGACAGAGACACAGTGAAAAGAGGGAACACAAGCAGGGGGAGTGGGAGAGGGAGAAGCAGGCTTCTCGCGGAGCAGGGAGCCCGACGCGGGGCTCGATCCCAGGACCCTGGGATCAGGACCTGAGCTGAAGGCAGACTCTTTAACGACTGAGGCACCCAGGCGCTCCCGGGGAACAGTTAATTTGTGAGCGTGGTAAGTTTCCTGAAGGCTCACAGTAGGACACCTGGTGCCTGCACAGAGTGCTCCAGAGAGCGGGAGAGGAGGAACACTCAGCAAAAAGGCGTCCAGGCTTCACACCGGAATCACTCTAAGCGCCCTCGGCTCTCTGAGCCTCCCCTGCGAGCGGGGGGGGCAGGCGTGGACAAGCGGCCGGGCGCTAACGTATGATGACGTCACTGGGCCGCGCCAGCCAATCGGGGCGGCCCCTGTCGGAGGCACCGCAGTGGCCCGTGGCCTGTAGGCGGCGCTGTGGCCCGCCGGGCGACCCCACAGAGCCGCCATAGCCGCCCGCCTCCCCCGACTCCGCGTCGCCGCCATGGCCGACGTGGAAGACGGCGAGGAACCCTGCGCCCTGTCCTCTCACTCCGGGAGCGCAGGCTCCAAGTCGGGAGGCGACAAAATGTTCTCTCTCAAAAAGTGGAATGCGGTGGCTATGTGGAGCTGGGACGTGGAGTGCGATACGTGCGCCATCTGCAGGGTCCAGGTGATGGGTAAGCGCTGCACGCGAGGCCCGGGCCGCGCTACGGCTTCCGCGGGGCCGACTCTGGGCGTGGGGGACGGGGGAAGAAGGCTCCGAGGGACTCGGGTCGGGAGGAGTGGGGGCAGGGGTGCCGGGGGCTGCCGCCGCTGCCTGGGGCTCAGCAGGCGCCCGGCGCCCGGGAGCTGGTCTTCTAGGGAGAGAAACGGACAGTGAGCAGAGGAATTAAGGTAATTTCAGGTAGTGATGGGTGTGGCCAAGGAAATAAAACTGGGTCATTTGATGGCAGCTAGGAGAAACCACTTCGGTTTGTGTGGCCAGGTCCATCTCTAAAAGCAAACCGCAAAGGGGTCAGAGTAAAGGCCCTGAATAAGCCGGGCACTTTAATGGTTGTGGTCTTACACCAAAGTGATGCTCTGGAGTCATCTTCCACAAAAACGGCACCCTCATTTCGCTCCTAAGAGGCGGAGGGAAGAAAAGTGTTCTAGCCATTGCCATTTTTGGATTAGCTACTGCTCTTCCACGGGCTTTTAAATCTGCATGCCTCAGGATGGGTCAGATGGCACGCCTTTGTCTTGAAGGGGATACAGTGTGGTTCAAGAATATTTGGGGTTCGCCGGAATTGAAGAATGTAAGCCCTTTATTTAGAAACATAAAAAACTTCATCTCCTTCTGGCCCTTCCCCATCATAGGATGCCATTTCCTGAAGATCCTGCCCTGCTCTGTGTCGGGCCTTTGTGGAGAACCCACTTGTACAAATAAAGTCTTAACGTCTTTCTGTGATATTTTGAATAAAAATGCTAGACCAGGCGAAACCTTTCAGAGCAGCTTCATCCTGTTATATTTTATATGCTCTTTGTTTTAAGGTCTCAGACCACCTTGAAAAAGAGATGCTATCTAAATGCAAGTTATATTTTTAAATAGAGCATTTAAAATCCTGAGAGAGGATCTTAATGTTTCTTGGGGGTAGGTGGAAAAAACTGAGGTTCTATAGTTTGAAAACTTTGTGTCCTGCTCTGAAAAATGAGAGAACTGGAGAAAATAAACAGAATTGCTCTCTCAAGGGATGAAATTTAAACCTATCAGAATCAAGGGACTCTCAGTTTACACTCTTTAGTACACTCTTTTGTTTTTTATTCATAAGGACTTGTTTCATAGAGAATTTACAAAAATGGGATTCAAATATTTTTTATTTTTTATTTTTGAAAGAACTTGATTTCAGACATGATCCACTTATTTTGCGTATTAGGTCTTAAAAGTACCTCGTTTATTGGCCTGCAGTAAAGCCCCCTTGCCCCACCCCTTACTTAAACTACAATCATAATTTTTTCCGGTTTGTGTGGCATTGTTAACTTATCCAGGCAACTTAATCTTTTCTTCTTTTGCAAGACAAGCTTTGCTAAGTATTTTATCCTCTAAATTTTCTTTAGTTTAAAAAGAAGAGTCTTCCAGAAAGTGTGTTTTATATTTCTCCCCAAAGAAAAGTTTTAGACTTGTAAGTAGAAATATCGAATTCAAAGTAATGGTTGAAATCTTGCAACAAATAAACTCTACTGGGATATTTAGAGTAAGTCAAAGTATGGGCTATAAATGATTCACATTCATATTAACCTTCTAATTATAGCAAGTATTCTGCTACTGTGGATTAATTTTGCAGATTTACAACAGCTGTCCTTTGAGTTCAGAAAAGTATTCTGGACTAGACCTCTGTATTTTGTTTATGAGGTGTTAAAATCCATTTGGTGGTCAGGTGACAGCAGAAGGAAGTTTGTTTTTCAGACTTCCCAAGCCTTACCTTAGTAGCATCATTCTAAAAGGTGTTACTGTTATTGTACTCCTTAGAAAGGTTCTGTTTTATTTTCTTTTATAAGATTTTATTTTATAAGATTTTATTTATTTATTTGACAGAGAGACACAGCGAGAGAGGGGGAACACAAGCAGGGGGAGTGGGAGAGGGAGAAGCAGGCTTCCCGCCGAGCAGGGAGCCGAGTGCGGGGCTCGATCCCAGGACGCTTAATGACTGAGCCACCCAGGCGCCCCGAAACGTTCTGTTTTAGATCTTAGGAATATCATGAAAGGAATTATTTTTCTTTTATCTTAAAACTTTAGGAATTTTTAGATTTAGGTTGGGTTTTGATAATTAGTCTAAATCAAAGGCAATCAAAATTGTAATCCAGAGATTTCTGGATTGTGCAGAAGAGCCCACTGAATTCCATTTCCTTAATATTTTGAATTCATTTCATACACCTAAATTATTTATTATGACTTCTTGATCCAAGATTTGCCTGTCAGCCTGTTCTGATGTGGTTAACACTCTCTTTGGTTTCCGCTCCTCTCCCTTCACTCTGAAGGGGGCAGATGGCACAGAGAGCAAGTGTTGAAGAAGAGGAAAATAGGTTTGCTAGTTCTGTAAAGTTCTAAAGAGCCAGAGTAACCCTTCGTGGCTATTTATGTTAACTTGGACATTTGACATACTTTTTGGAGTCTTGTTTTCCTAATTTGTGAAATAGGTAGTTGGGATCACAGACTATAATTTGTGATTATACAGAACCAGAGCCATGTCTTCACCCTTATATCATGATCCTTATGATATTTTGTTTGCCTGCCTACCTCCCCATTTCCTGGTGAGACCAGGGACCCAGACTTGGTCATTTTGGTGTCCCCAGTGCATAACTCCTTATACAGAGTAGATACTCAGTAATTGTGGGATTGAAGAAAGCCTTAGGAGGCACTGGTTGTTTTTAATCCACACCAGAGAGGCCAGGGTGGTGTGTTGTTTTAGGGTAAGAGCATGCAGAGAGGAGCAAACAAATGCCTGAGCATACTCCAGTGTAAGAAGAGGAGCAGGCTTCAACTTCACCGTGTATCTATTTTTACAGAATTCTTTTTCTCCAATTTATGTTAAAAGATATTTTTTTTTTCCTATTGGTTTGAATTTCCTTTTACCCATCTCAGACTCCTCTTCCAGCTAGTGAATGAATCCATTTTATTGGTCCCTAAAATATTCTATATTACCTCCTTCGTCAAGCAAATAGTAGTACAGAGTGAATTTTGAAAACTGCTAGTCTACCCTTCAGGTTCCCTTTCCTAGAATTTACTCCCAAATAAATTATCAAAATACTTTGCCATTGTTGGATAAATGCTTTGGACTCAGACATATTTATAAATGTAGGGAGCATTTCTTTTTCTTTCTTTTTTTTTTTTTTTAAGATTTATTTATTTGAGAGAGCAAGAGAGCACAAGTGATGGAGAGGGAGAAGGAGGCTGCCCATCCAGCAGGGAGCCTGATGCAGGGCTTGATCCGATCATGACCTGAGCTGAAGGCAGACAACCTACTGAGCCACCCAGGTGCCCCAAGGGAGCATTTTCTTTAAAAAGAAAAAAAAAGAGAGAGAACCTAGTACTTAAGAGGTTCTTTAAAAATTAATTTTAGTTTAATTTTTATATAGATCATACAGTCACATAATTGAGAATTTTTAGAAAATATACAATGAAAATTTCTCATCCCATCCCCTCTTTGGTAAACTTTATTACTTGGGTATTTTTCTAGAGTTTCTTTGTGTGTGTATAAGCAAATACCAGTATATATGGATGGCTTACTTACCATGGTATCTTGAAAATAAACTGCCCCTAAGGTTAATCTATGTGATCATGCCTAGTGAGTCTATATGAACGTCCAGTATATAATGGAGTATGGCATATTTTTCTCTAGGGGTTGCATGCACCTTGGGGACATCTTTTCATCAGAGCTTGTGAAAATAGAGGGTCAGTGACCCTTGTGAAATTGCTCCTGGTCATAGGTAAATGAGTAGAGTGCCTTGTACTTTTTTCATCTTTAAACAGTTATGTTCAGATGAGAAATTAATAATATGAGTCTCTTATCTCCATCTCTAACCCTTTGGGCTTTTATTTGACTTTGAAGTGTCTGGGTTTTAAAAATTGCATTCTGAGCATCAGAATGAGAATTGCTATTTGTTTACTTTTAGATGCCTGTCTTAGATGTCAAGCTGAAAACAAACAAGAGGATTGTGTTGGTATGTTGTAATTTCATTCTCTTGGTTTTTCAACTGAAGGTTTTCCTCTCAGTGGGGATGTTTGAATTTGCAATTAAGATTGACTTTATCAATACACAAAAACAAACTGTAAAGCAGTGATCCATTATTAATATAAAATGTGTTGGTTCTCTAAAGGCCTTAATGGAATTAATCTGCAAGTCCTTTTATTGCCTGTTAATTAAGATTTGATTATATATTCTAGACATGGGCATAGTAAATATTTGATATTCAAAAAAGAAATTATTCTTTTCTATTAAAATTATAAAGTAAGGAATTTGCCAAAATGTCATTTAAATTTAACTGTATTGTAGGTCAGATTTGGTAGGGTTTTATTCTAATAAAGTGCTTCAGTTTTCAGTACTCTTATGATACAGTATTTAACTTTTCAACTAACATAGAAAAAATGTTAAGTCTCAAGATTTTTTCAGATATAGTTTGTATATGGAAATCTATTAAATTTTGCTAATAGTCTGGGGCTACAAAAGTTGTCTTAGGCTAAACGTTTTAAGCAGTTCAAAGGTTTTTATGATTGCTATGTATAAAAGCTTTTCTGAAGATGAAAGGTTAACTTTGTACTTTGTGTTTGCATGGTTTACATTCAGCTTCTTAATAATGATTTATGTGGTATTTATCAAATCCTGTTTCTTCGTCCTGAAACACTTAGAATGATTTCCCCTTGCTTCCTACTTCCTACAGATAATTTTTATAAGAAGATATGGGGTTTTTTGTGGTTGTTTGTTTGTTTTTTCCTATTTCTTTCATTGGTCTGTTATCATATAGGTCAAGCAAGTGACAAATAAAGCCCACATTTGAGACTGTATTTCAGATTATGGGTGACTTCCCTTGGTTTAAAAAATATTAACGGAAATTGTGAGGTTCAGGCCACCTTTCTTTGACCACAAAGGGACCTCTCTTTCCAACCAGCCACTTTGAAAAGTTAATGTATTTGTCACATGAGGAATTGCACTGCTTATGGATGACTTAACACAGTTCATCACCACTTCTAGAAAATAACTCAGTAGGTGTACAGCTGATAATGTTTAGAAGCATGTCATCTATTTATAATAGACTACTATGAACTGAAAACATTTAAAACTCATTATCTTGGTAAATAAAAATCAGGAGTATTTTTTGCAATAAAATAAAGCTCAAAAGGTTTCCAGGTCAGTGTATGACTGAGAAGGTCTGGGATCTAAGGAAGGCTCAAGTTCTTTAATCTCCTAACTTCAGGAAGACAGCATGTGGAGCTGTGTAGGGACTGGGGGCCACCACATCACCCACAGATTCTAAACAATGATGGAAAGTCCCCTAATCACAGCGCCTCATCTCACTTCTTAGTGTAATTTACACAGGTAAGTTTTTATTTCTTTATAGATAGAAAAAATGTTGACCAATTAGCCATCTTGATTCAAGATTATGAACCATGATTATTCGTCATAATATAAAATAACCTATAATTTGAGTTCAGTAATTTAAATTAAAATACGTAATGTCAAAATAATCTTTTTTTTTTTTCCCCTTTCAGTGGTCTGGGGAGAATGTAATCATTCCTTTCACAACTGCTGCATGTCCCTGTGGGTGAAACAGAACAATCGCTGCCCTCTCTGCCAGCAAGATTGGGTGGTCCAAAGAATCGGCAAATGAGAGTGGTGGAAGGCTTTCTTAGTGCATTTGTTTGGAGCCCTGGTGGATCTTGTTATCAAGTGCCCTACAAAGGCCAGAACTCTCCAGGGAACTAATTCTTCAAATAAGAGGAGGTGCCTCTGTGGTCTTTTGGTACTCATCAGAGGCATGGTTTAGCATTTTGTTAGTTTTATTTTCAGAAATTCTCTACAATTAAGAAGATAATTTATTAAAGATGGTCTTTCCTACCTCTGTGGTATGTGTCACACACACTGCTTAGAAGTGCTTTAAAGGAGGAGAGAGCTACAAATTGAATGACTTTATAATTTACTTATTGGTATCCAAGGGACTGTGGAAGCAGTTCCATTCAGAAGAGAACTTGTTGCATGCTTATAGTTGATCAGTTAAAAAAAAAAAAAGTGTTATAGTAACAAATAAAGTGCAGTTTAAAACCCAACTCTTATCCTCATTTTGTTCCTGATATTTATTTTTGGCTGGGAGGAGGTGATTCATGAAATCTTTACTTGATATAATGAAAATTTTAAATTTGGACCAGTGAACAGGGTAAATAAATTTAACCTTTGGGCATATGGAATTTCGATTGTCTTTTAGGCTATCATCCTCTGTCTTTGGCTCATCAAGAATACCTAAATCTACACTCACCTCACTGTTCAATCATTGAGCGGTAAAGAACAGAAGTATTTTTAAGTTCTGGTCAGATTATGTAGTAATTAAACTGTGTTTTAGGTGGAGTGTTAATGAGGGGAAAATGTTTACCACTGTAGCATTGGATCAAAAAGTTTATTTTATTACACGATGTTTTAATAAATGGTTTATTCTGTTTACTTCATTTGAATTGTCATTATTACAGTCTTATGCACAACCTTAAACTTCATGTTAATAAACTAATATGTCAAGTGAGTGATTTTACTTAATTTGAAAAAAAATTCATGTACTCTTATTTGGTAATAATAAAACTTAAAAAGTTTAAAGTTTATTACATGGAAACATTAAGTGTGAGAAAATACTTAAATTTTATCAAACTCATTCACATTTAATGGAGGTTATTTTGTAACAGTTTATGGACCACAAGTTTATTTTGAATTTTTCCATAGTAAAGACCACAGCTATGAATTTTAAAAACTGAAGTCTTTAAAAACTTTGTCATCCACTTCTGCAGTTTGTCAATCTGAATCTTTTTATATCTAAGGAATGCGGAGACTTAAAAGAATGTTAAAAACTAAGAATTCACAGGCTTTCATATTGGCTACTGTTAAGCTTTATTATGTATTTTTTCACAGTTTACTGAAGAAATTAATTACAATGTGAGGGTGAAGCATTTTACTATATAATATCAAGGGTAATATTATCGACATGATTTATTGAAGTTCATGTTGACCTAGATTACTTGGCTGGATTGTCAAGCTTTTTTTTTTTTTTCCAAGATTTTATTTTATTTTTAAAAGATTTTTTATTTATTTGAGAGAGAATGCACAGTGGGGAGGGGGAGAGAGAGAGAGAGAAGCAGACTTCCTCCTGAGCAGGGAGCGCAAAGTGGGGCTCAATCCCAGGACCCAGAGACTATGACCTGAGCGGAAGTCAGACACTTAACCGATTGAGCCACACAGGCACCCCGACACACAAGTAGGGGAGGAGCAGAAGGAGAGGGAGATAATCTCCAGCAGACTCCATGCTGAGCACGGAGCACAGCACTGGGCTCAATCTCAGGATCCTGAGATCATGATGAGCAGAAGCCAAGAGGCAGACACTTACCTGAGACATCTGGGGACCCCAATCAGGCATCTTTCCTGTAGAGTTACTTTTTCCCTTTTCCATACTGCATTCTTTGGGAGAAAGTCACTAAGTGCAAATAACACTTAAGGAGTGGGAGGTAGGCTTCTACTTTTTGAGGGTTGAGTATTCCATTATTTGGAATTCTTTAGCATTGGATATTTATCTTTTCTCCATTTATTTAATCACTTATCTATATCAGTAAATAGTGAAGAGTCTTTTTGGAAAGATTAAAACTTATCAATTCCATGGAAATGAAGGGTTCTTAGACTACTCTGGATAGAACACCATTTTCTAATGATACCTGTGTACGGAATGATAGGGGGATGAAAAAGAAATACAAGGAAAACAGTTTAAAAAATATATTCCTAACACATTTTAGATTAAATCCCAAAGTTTAATCACACTTTCAACATCTCATTTTGAGGTCTCCAAAAATTCTTAGTATATGCATACCAGAATTTCTTTCCCAACATACTAATATACACAAAATTAAACATTAGAATCAAGTTCTAGCTGGTTGCTTTTCGAGCTATGATCTTTTACACTTCAGACCTTCAAAATAGATTTTTGTTTGCCTTAGGTAAACCTAAAGAAACATTAAATTGATGCATAACACATCATGTTAATAAATGGTTTGGGTTTTGTTTTTGTTTTGTTTTTGTAGAAAACAGCCGTGTGATTAACATCATATAGAAAACTGTGACAGAGCTATAAGTATATTACTAGCAAAGACTTAAAAAGTTACTACAAATGTTTTATATGGTAAGTGCTTCATTGAACATCTTTTGAAGCCTTAGAATTGAGCAGATTTAAGGGTAAATATGGAGGTAAAGACCTAGAGGAATGACAAAGTGGGAAAATCCCCCTACAGAGATGTAGTTATTTCAAGCCACTACCTCTGCCCCAAACCATATATCACAACACATTCTACATAACCCTTACTTTTTCAGGGATTTTCAACTGAAGAATCAATATTAAGAGAAGAATGAAAATAAAGCAAAAAAATAACATTAGTGGGGGCGCCTGAGTGGCTCAGTCAGTAAGTGTCTGCCTTCAGCTCAGGTCATAATCCCAGGGTCCTGGGATCGAGCCCCGCATTAGGCTCCCTGCTCAGCGGGAAGCCTGCTTCTCCCCCTCCCACTCCCCCTGCTTGTGTTCCCTCTCTCGCTGTCTCTCTGTCAAATAAATAAAATCTTCAAAAAAAATGATAGTCAACCTAGAGAAACATAGTATTGCATCATAAAAGATTAGAAAATATTACCTAAAGACATTTAATTTACTAAATGTGAAAGATGGACAAAAAATTTTTTAAGGATATATAGGAACAAGCTAACCTGACTATGTTAAGCTTTTTTTTTTTTTTTCTTTAAGATTTTTATGTATTTGACAGAGCGAGAGAGCACAAGCAGTAGAGGGAGGGAGAAGCAGGTTCCTCCCAGGACCCTGGGATCATGACCCGAGCCGAAGGTTAAGTTCAGATGCTTAACCATCTGAGCCACCCAGGCGGCCCTGGATAAAATTTTGTTATATTGCATTCCTCTTTAGAGTATTTAATTTTAGAGTAGCACATAAAATGTTTGCGATATAGTATAGTGTATACAATACATAGAATATAGATTTTATACTTCTAGTACAGATTTGTAATTTTATAGGTAGTAAATTATATGTAGTACAATATATATATAGTATAGTGTATTATAAGTAAATGTAGATAGATGGATAGATAGTATTGCTTTTTCCTTGCTATAGGACCTGTTGCTTAGAGAAACATTGAAGCTGATACGTCTCTTCTTACCATTTGGTATTGTTTCAAAGATTAATGGCCCCATGGTAACTGTTGAGACATATGCTAAGAAAATAAACACTGAATAAGATGTTGCATTGCGTCTGAAATGAGGGATACATTTAGAGAGTAAAACCTGAATGCGTTTTTAAAATTTGCATTGTATACTGCTATTTCTTTTTTCCCTCTGAGGAAGTTATTAGTCATGCTGTTTCCTCCTAGTAAACTCGTGTTGACATTGACCATTCTGTTTTAGGCACATGTTCTGTAGATACAGAGGAAGATTTGGAATGTGTACTAGCCAAGCAGCTCAGAAATTACTCTCTCACAGATGAGTGAGCATCAGCCTTACATTTCCAGAGTAGTGATCTGCCAAGGAGACAGTTCAGCATACTATTTATTTTCTCTGTATCTAGAAAAAAAATAAGTATTAGTTTTTCTTAACAGGAGTCATTCTTTTTGCAATGGCTGAAATTAAAAAAAAAATCTCCACAAAAGCCAGTTAATACAGTTATAAATATATTGGTTCACAATGGGAAAATAGGATTCCATTTCAAATCCCTCCCCTGCCGAAAAACAAGGCATATTTTGATTCAAATTTGTTGAACTTAGATTTGGCTTACTTCAAGCGTATGTGTGTGTATGGATGTGTAAGTGTAGTATGACACATGTATACGTCTATTCATTAATGTGCTTTTAACTCATTGTTCTCATTGTTTGGGTATATAAAAGAATCAGAAAAGTAAACTCCTTGAAGGATATTTTTGTTTTATAAGAATTTACTAGAGCTGCAACTAGAAAATGTGTGTACCCTGTGCAGCAATCAGAAAACATACTTGTAGGCAGGACGGTAGTGAGTTTTCGGATAGTGGGGTGACTGAGTGGAAATTGATGAGAAAGGCACTGAAACATAATATCTGTTTCTAGAAGAAAAACAATAAATAACATGGGAAGGGCGAATGGATGGAAAGCTTGAGGAAAGCCCTGTGAGCAAAAGAATGGGGAAGAAAGACATCCTTTACCATGTAGTAGACATGGAGAAATCAGATATCTATATTTAATAATTCTTTACAAAAATAATATATGCAGAAATGTGTTCAAACAGTATACCTAATCTAGCAAAACTAGTCTGATAGTTACATAGGAGTTGGGCATTTACAGTAAGATCAGTGTTACTATATTTAACAAATAAGTTACTGTAAAGGGAGTAGAAATAATTATGAAAGAGTTTGTATAGATTATTTTATATTTATATTTAATTCCATTTAGTGTGCATAATTTAGACATCATGCCTCACTTTTAAGTTTTTTAAATAGATTTGACTCTTTTGCATTTATAACATACTTTTGAATGACAAGTTATTACTGTCCTTATTTGAAAGTCAAGAGAGCTAAAATGTCAAGAGAACGGACCTAGTAACATTTTAACAGATTCCAACCAAAATCCTTGTTTGGGATTTTTGGGGGCACCTTGTCTCAGCTTTGAGTAGCAGTTGGAAAGAGTGTTGCCCCCACCTTCGTAGTTTATCCAGATTGTTTTCCTTTTTTGTAAATTAATGACAACACCTACAAATAATTTTTTTCAGTTTTTCTTTAAAATTATAGGCTTTTTAGTTTGGGGTGTGTGTGTGTGTGTGTGTGTGTGTGTGTATGTGTGTGTGTCCTTTTTCAAGTTCTGTTATTGAAGATGCTTTTCTAGGACATATTTAATGTAATAACTTTGCTAATATGGTTAATTTTGTAAAGTATATCAAAACATTTGTGTATTGATTAGAAATGAATTTTCTTTCATGTTTTTCACAATCCTGGTTATGTACTACATGCATATTAAATAATAATAGATTTTTAAAAATTTATTACAATACACAAATATGTTTGACCACTCAAATGTTGATCATTGTACAGTGAGCTATTTGAGTAGCTTTTTGTTTGATGTTTTTAAAATGATGTATTCATAAAATGTGAACCAAATATTTGGCTTTGCAGTGAAGAGAGAAATAGTAAGAATGTCAAGTTATTTTAGTTGGTATGACAGTACATAAATAAAATGTGAAGGATGGTGGTAATAAGTAGATTTTCCACACAGCAAAACCACCGGCCCACCGCCTAACAAAGCTCTGTTTCTACTACACATCAGCATCTGAGGGTAAAAGAGGAGGAGGGGCTGGGACAAAGCAGCACTGATCCTACCCATCCTGGGATGATATCAGCTCATCTGCATAGCCGTCTGAAGGTTTAGTACATATTGTTTCATCAGAAAGAACACACTGTGAC